ATTTGCGGAACCAATCGCCGAGGCGGTTGGCGGCGCTTTGGAGTCGAGTGGTTAGTTGACTAAGGTTGCGGTCTGAATAAAAGAGCGCCGTGTCATCCGCGAAAAGCGCGAGATTGACGTGGGGGTCTTTTGGTATATCGCTCGTGTAGAGCGTAAAAAGTAAGGGTGAGAAGCAGGAGCCTTGTGGAACGCCAGCCGTGAGGCGGCGGCTTGTAGAGAGGGCGCCTTCAACTCGATATCGGAAGGAACGGTTCGACAAGAAGGCCTGAATGGTGTGTACAAGCCTGTCTGGCACTTTGAGTGAGAACAGCTTGTAAATCAAGCCGTTGTGCCAGACTTTGTCGAATGCCTTTGCGACATCGAAGAAAAGAGCCCCCGTGCTAATATGTTTAGGGTGATTTAGGCCTTTTAGGATATGTTCCGTTAGGCGGTATAATTGATCGGGACAGGAATGTCTTGCTCGAAAGCCGAATTGTTCCGTCGGCAGAAGGCCATTGGAAAACACGTGGTCTTTGAGCCTGTTTAATAGAAGCCGCTCGTAAAGCTTCCCCAGGCAACTGAGGAGGCTGATGGGACGATAACTAGAGGGCTGATTGGCTGGTTTATTCCGCTTGCGAATGCCGATAACCGTGGCTTCTTTCCAGTCGTCCGGAAAGGAACAACTGGAGAGTAAAGTGTTGTAAATGGTCGCCAGTAAACAGATAAGTGGGCCAGGGAGAGCTTTAAGGATTTTATTACTAATATTGTCTGGGCCCGGGGCGGATTTGGGTTTTAAATTTTTGATAATATCGTGGACCTCTTCGGGGGTCACTGAGTTTAATGGATCGCCTTCCGGTGGAAGCGCAGCCCTAGTTTCGATAACGCGGTCCACCTCCGTTAGGTGGGCTGTGTCGATGTGTTCGCGCGATGGCGTACATTGCTGCTCTAGGTTGTCCGCAAGGCATTCGGCTTTTTCGGAGTCATCCAGGGCTAATGAAGTGCTATTAGGCATTGCTAACGGCGGTAGGGATTCGCGGGGCTCTGCTTTCAGACTGCGGGCCAACCGCCAGTAGGCGGTGTGCGATGGCTCGATATCCTCTAGTAGAGTGTCCCACTCGGTATGTCGGTGTTCCGATACGCGATCTTTAACTTCTAGCTGAAGGCGTCGAAGTAGGGTTCGGTTCGATTCTGATCGGTATCGGTCGAAAGCTCGTTTGGCTGCATTTTTTTGTCTAATTAGCAGTCTTAGGTCGGGTGGAAAGTTAAACCGTCGGTCGCCCGACAGTTTCACTGTTCGTTCCGAATCTGCAACTGCGGAAGTGAAGTGATAGATGCGCGAAGACTTGCTATCGCTCGATTTGCGTCATCGAACGTAGCTATCGTCTCGGGTAGGTTGGCGATGTGCTGGGGGTCCAAGGCCTTGAGTTTGACCTCAAGGCGATGCCAGTCCACTACGGTTTTGGTCGGAGCGACCGCGCCGGCGTTCTGGCCCAGTTTACACAGGACCGGCCTGTGGTCTGATTCTAATTCTTGGATTGTCTTCATCGACGTGATGTCGAGGGAGACCTCCTTGAACAACATGATATCAAGAATACTCGGTGTCGAATGCTGGTAATCGTCCACCGTAGGATATCTTGTGGGAGTCACAGGAGCGATTATGCTGTAATTTAAATCGTCAGATAAGTTAAAGAGCTGCCTACCGTTGTTGTTAGCGTAAATTTGGGGGTCCCATGAGCCGTGTTTGCAGTTTAGATCTCCTGCAATTATCACGGAAGGGCCTAAGTTAAGTAGCGTTTCTAAATCGCTTTGTAGAAGTGTTTTATTCCCCGAGAGGTAGGCTGAAATTAGTACAAGCGGCCTGTGGCCGGTGAGCGCTAACCTACACGCGGATGCCCCTATATGTCTTAGCTCTGGGATATCGAGCGGGCTACAGTGCAAGGACCGTTTATAATATATTAAGGTACCTCCCAGACGGTTTGCTAACCGGTCGTGGCGGACTATATTATAATTTGCGATTTTTGGATCGCGTCTGCTAGGTTTCAAGAAGGTCTCTTGCACTAGAAATATATCGATGTTATAATCGCGAAGGAATTCTGCGATTTCGTCCCTTTGGCCCCTAATGCCATTTGCGTTAAAATACGAAACAACCAGAGCCCGAGGTTTTAATCTACCTGCGGCTGTACTTTCCATTTTAGTTTTAGTAGCGGTTCTAGGTAACGACGCGGCGAAGCGCGGTTTTATTGCCCGGACTATAAACCTTTATGGTTGATTTGTAAACACCCAAAGGGCGTCTACAAGTTTTTTGTGCTCGTTGAGCGCATTAAGTCGATCGGTGCCACATGTGGCGGCCGATAACTTTGTAGATAAGACGGCGAGCTCTTCCCGGTTTATGCGTTCCAGGAAGCTGCAGATGTTTGCCATTTGGGCAAAAGGGTCGTCTTGGTTCGCGGAAACGACCGGTGTAATAAAATGCACCTGCGGCCTCGGTGCTTGTTGTTTGACAGGCTGCGGTTGGAATGTCGTCGGTCGTGAGGCGACCGGAGGCGCGGCTACCTGCGCGACTGCCTGAGGTTTCGCCCAGGCGTTTACGACGGGTGCGGGCGCGAGAATGTCCTTCGCCGGCGCGGATTTCGGGGCCGCGATTTTCGCGAGCGTAATTTTTGCGGGTGCTTTCCTCGCGGGGGTTTTTGGAGCTTTAGCGCAGCCCCTGTAGCTAGCCGGGTGGTCGGTAGTCAAACAATTTACGCAGTCCGGTGGATCTGCGCAATCTTTAGGACGCGTGCAATCTGTCGTGCCGTGATCACCGGTGCATTTGACGCACCTAGGGTGAGCAAAACAGTTGCGGGCTGTGTGGCCATAGTGTTGGCAGTTATGACACTGCGCAACAACGCCTGACTTCCGTGGAGGCTCAACGACGAGTTCGCTAAGCCCACAGAGCCTCTTCAAATTAAAAATTGCCTTACCTTCCGGGGTAGGGTCCAACTCCACCATTACAATGTCCATCGGGACACGGGTTCTGGGGTGACGTAGGCGACGAACGGCGTGCACCGGGTATCCCTGAGTGCGGATGTCGATTTTTACATTGTCGACATCCGACTCTTTCGGGATTCCCTTTATGACTACCCGAAGTTTGCGTTCTTCAGGCAGCGAGTAGGTATGGAAACCTACTTTGTTTTTGCGTAAATATTTAGTGACGCGGCGGAAGTCATCGATGCTATCGAGGTGTACACGGATACCTTGATGGGTGTTCTTCGACCGGGGGTCTCGAATATTGTGGCGTTCGAACCACACGCAAATTTGATGCCATTTAGCTTTCTCCTGGATGATGATAGGCGGAGGAGGCTTGGCTTTTCTTTCGGCGGCGTATTCGGGTACCGGTTGGACTGCCGCGGCCGCCTTTTTGGCGGGCGTCGCAGTGGATCTATTAATTGAGGTGGCGGCCTCGCTTTCGGGGTCGCTATCTACGGCGGGGCGTTTCTTGCCCTTCTTTTTTCGCCCAGTGACGACGGTGAAGCTGTCGTCATTGGGTTTACCGGCGGGAGTTAAATCTACCTCCATATCCGATCCGCCGTCCGAGTATGAGTCGAGTACGACGGTGCACAAGGAGGCCGGGGTAGCTTGCGAGGAAGGCGCGACGGGCGTGTTCGCAGCGGCGGATGTCGACGCGACGGGCGCTTCTTGCGTCGCGGAAGGCAACGGGGTTACGGGCGCAGAGGGCGCCGGAGATGGCGGCGATGCGATTGCCGGTGAAGGCGGGCTGTCGTTGGCGTATTCAACGACTAATCGTTGTTCTGATTCGAACGCTAGGTAGCTTTCCCAAATGTCGGGACAGCGTTGTCGGACGAACTCCTCGAAAAGGGAGCCCATCGTAACGTATGTGCCTTTGGGGCTTAGGCCCCGCCGGCGTGTGTAAGCTTAATAAGCCTCCCCACCTTGCGGCAGGGAGGAGTGTGCCTAAAAATAACACTTAATTCGCCTGCGCTTTAGGTGCGCTAGGGTGAGTACCTAGCTGTCGCCCAATGCAACAAGCACACAGTTAAAAATTAGGCAATGCCGCCTCTGAGGCGAGAAATGTGTGTAGAATTCTACTTACGGACAGGAACCTGCCTACGAGCACAACACTACACTAACACTAAACTATTGCACTACTTGCACAAATATTTAAATTGCAACCAAAGTTGCGAGTAGCGTCTAATTCGGGTGGCATGTGCCCTCCGTCTTAGAGAGACGTCCGTTCCGTACGAGAGCACGAAGCGGAATGTCTAAAAATGTACTTTGCTTCAATCACCTTAACTATGCAAGCCCTATAAATTTTAAATATAAATTTTTACTACATTCATAGAGTAGATTTATCAAAATGTGTACAGAATTAACTAGAAATACTGTTAACGTCTAAACATTTTTATTTCATTGCATATTTATTACAAATAAATAGCAGTTACTAGACGATAAAAGTATCGTTTTTTTCCTTGTCTTATTAAAAATTATGATTAATAGTAAGTAGTAAGTTGTAGCACTTTCTACAAATATTAGGGCTTCTTTTCATTTAAACTACTAATAGTATGTATATGGAACAAAAATAATATTTTAATGTTATATATATTATTTTTTTAAAAATCATAGAAGGAAAGATCAAAACCTTGGTTATATCTACAGGTATGATTATTAAGAGCAAATTGAATCAAGATTCTGACAAATTTACTTCATATATCCAACATAAATACAATATTTATAAGAGAATATTTGAATCACTAAGAATATTCCAATTTATTTCTAAGTGGAAAAATTATAACACCTTTGGTTTTAGAAAACTTACAAATAAGAAATAAGAATGACAAGTTTCAAGTTTGACAGCTATATTATTTGTCTATGGATTAAATTTGGCGCCTAAAAACTATAACTTGGAAGTGCTGAAATCAATTTATCATGATTTTATATTATCATTTTTGTAATAACTAACATAACCAAGTGCTACTACAGCTTTCGCCTATTAACTGTGTAAAATTAGACAACAATCAATCATGGACCTCGTTGAGAAAACGAATAATATTTCAATTAACGAGTATGTATAACTTGATATTGTTAACTATAATTTAGTGACTTCGATTTACTGTTCACATTATCAGCAGTGCAGGATTTATACTAGAGGCACCCGGAGCTATTGCCCAGGACGGTAAAATTCAGAGAGGGAGAGAAAAAGATTTTCTTCCCGTTTTCGAAGATGTATCAATATTATCAACTGAAAACATTACAGTAAGAATATGAAAGGGGTTGCGTTTAATGAAAGTCTCATAAGCGATGATGAGTAGTAAACGATTTTACCAAAGACTATGTGGCTATGGTTGTAAATACAATAGAATTTTTACCTGGGGGTTGTGTTAAGGTTGAATCTGGCCCTGATTATCAGTATAGCATTTTCGAGCAAATTTCACAATAGGGCCTTTTTTTTTTTTTCAGAACAACAGCACAGTTAAAAAGAATGGATTATATTGATTGGAAGGAATACTTCATGGCAACAGCATTCTTAGCAGCCAAACGAAGTAAGGACCCATGCTATCAAGTTGGAGCATGTGTTGTTAACAAAGAAAATAAGATTGTGGGAATCGGGTGAGAACATTCAACATGAATTTTAGATATGTTGGTATATTATGTTTCTTATAGAATTTAAATAAAGTTTTAAAGGTTTTCTGAAATTTATATCAATTCTATAACTTATTTGTGTTAACTTGATTAGTAAGATATTATAAAAGTAATACTAGAAGCACCTCGGTAACAGAGATAAAGCCGTGATAAATTTAATTAAAGGTAAGCATCCGAACACTGGGCTGTGTTCAGGTACTCACCTTTAATTCTATTTACTTGAGCAACCTGAGTTTGATCCCCGGTGCCAGCGCCAATGAAATGTTAATTTTAAGTGTTGACTTATCAAATGTTTGCTGTGAAGAAGAAGCATCGTGAGAAAACCTGCATATTTTCAAGAAAAATAAAATATATTTCGAAAATATGTGAAGTCCACCAATCCACAGTGGGGTAGCGTGGTGGACTAGGGCCTAATACCCTCTTAACAGAGGAGGTCTGTGCCCAGCAGTGGGCATTTTCCAGGCTGTTTTTTACTATTTTTACTATCTAAATGTAATATCGAAATGTCACATAATTAATAAAATACTTAGAATGCTTCTTCTATAAAACTTCTTATGTCATTCCAGATACAACGGTATGCCTACAGGGTGCAGTGATGATGAATTTCCTTGGGGAAAAAATACACCATCACCTTTAGATAGCAAATTTTTATATGGTAAGTTGCAACAGGCTTATTCATATTAAATCTTTCCAAAAGTTTTAAATAAACTGTTTGATAGAAATCAGATAACGATATATATTTTTTTTAATGTAATATAAATCTGATTTTAGTATGCCATGCTGAGATGAATGCAATTCTAAATAGGAACTCTGCTGATGTAAAAAATTGCACCATATATGTTGGCTTGTTTCCCTGCAATGAGTGTGCTAAAATAATCATCCAATCCGGCATTACAGAGGTTGTGTACCTCTCTGACAAAAATGCACACAAACCAACATATATAGCATCTAAAATAATGTTTGATGCTGCTGGAGTTATGTATTGGTGAGATTTTTTTAAATATTTACAAATAAATACTATGCCACTCAACCATAAGTTAAAATTATAATTTTGTAAGTAATGGTCTATAGGTAAAAAAAATGAACAATTTTATTAACACAAAATTACATATAACATTAAAACTTATGATAATGAATTTCTTACAGGCAATTTAAACCAAAGAATGAAAAAATTGTAATCAACTTCACCGGTATAGACTGGGAAAATATGAGTCCATCGAAATGACAAATATACCTCACATATTTATAACAAATATGGTATTGACATTTGTTTAGCGTAAATTATGTGATATTAATTAAATCAATATATGTTTTCCTCTATAAACATTAAAGATATCATGTTTTAATGATAATGGAATAAAACACAAATGTGAATAATTTTGTAAAATAAAATTTTATTACTTTATGTACAAGTTGATGGGGGTACAAAATACACCAATCACACAACCAAACAGAAAACCAACAAGGTTGTGTTCTAGTTGGATAAATGTAAAAAAACATATATCAATCAATGAAAACGGAAAGTATTATCTATCATTATTGAAAGATGGTATATTGATAATTCTTCTTAACAAACCTTTTAATCTATGAAAAGCTAACATGAACTGAGATAATGTAGGCAAATCTGACTATATTTTGGTGTATTTGTTCTTTACACATACCAAAATACAGTTGGTGTAAATTTCATACATATAAAGTTTAAATTGCACAGGGTTGAAAATGTGTCTTTCAATAAAAACAAATTACACTTGTCACACTCTGGAAGAATTTTCTAACTATAGTGCACACAGTTACAATTCGGAGTATTCAATTATAATATTATTGTCCAAACTTTACACATATCTACAGACAATCGTAATCAACAAAATGTTAAGTGTCGCAACCGAGTCCGCCCTAACAAAAAACAGTAACTGAGAAATTTCACATCAACAGACTTCTGAGAGTTCTAATGATATTGTACAGTACATACTTAAAAATAAGAATTATTTACAAAGCGTACCTCAGTTCAGTAGTCAAGTATTGCGCGAGGTATTATTTTATTTAATTACCACACATTATTTTTTATACACCTAAAACCCAGTCATTAAAATTACTATCTTAATTACATCATGTTTAAATTGCATTTTAATGAACACTTCAGAGGCCACACATTTAAGTTTTGAAGAACAAATCAATTGGATGTTTGTAGAGACAAATTCGAGTTTTTGGGTGTGATATTGAAACACCACTTAATCACTTGGTCAGTTATACAGCTAATTTAGGGTGTGGTGTATGAAAGCTATATGTTAAATAAAATAAATAATTAGATTATTGAGCTCTGTTGACACTATGTACAAATATATTTTTAATGTGCCTCATTTTTCAAATTTATTGAGCTCTATGGATTGAAATAATATGTCAAATAATTTATAAGAGGTTTCTTAATAAATTTTGTCAAAAGTAGTAATAATTTATTTAACTATTATTTTAGCCAGTTACATAATTTGTCCCTAACAGCTCCGGTCAATGTAAAATGAAATATTAATACACAATTAGTATTAAGGACCTTATACAAAACTCAGGAACAAATATTTATTTTATGTTAAATAACAAGTTAGTTACTTCAACAACGCAGATTCATAATTATCATCTAAAACCTAACAGCGCTTGTTGTAACATTCCAGGTTTTTATTTCGTTTGTGATAAACTAATAATTAAATTTATTGAACCAATGTATTTTTAAGTATACAATTTAGTGGCGTAACTATTCGATTTGTGACGTAGTTCTAATCACGTATTAAATTTGATTGCAGACTTATGCTCGTCAATAGTTAGAAGTTTGAAGATATATAAATATCTGTAATTTATTGGCCATAAAAATCAATGTCAAGGTCTGACAGTTCAAACAACAAATTCAACCTCGTGATTAACAATAATTGAATACGTCTTAATACCTTATTTTTAAAACACGACACAGTAAAAAAACTGGAGAAGTTTCGAACAAAACCGAGTCGCCAATTTTGCACAAACTGACACCAACTGGCATTGTATTAACTAACAACGAACTCCGAGAATATTCATCAGTTGCGTGGAAAAACGTTCGAAATTCGAAAAAGATCTAATAGCTTTATTGCGTTCGTTTAAACAACCAAACGCCGTAGTAAAAAAGCCACGTACACATCGAGCAAAACTCAAACGCGCCCGAGCAGTCAGTTCTGCGCGTGTACAGCCGAGTAGAAAAATCGAGTTATTGCTTGGCGAACGTAGGTACCTAATGTCTAAACATAAAATCTACGTTAACAAAACCGAACAACGAATATTTGTCCGCGACTGTACACGTGTAGCGAGGGCGAGATGGACTGCGCGAGCGAGAACGCTGCCCGCGCTATCCCCTACCGATTGTTGCGAACGCGACGGGGGCGCGTTTGAGTTTCACGCGTGTCGCGGGCGGCGCGCGAGCTCGATCCGTTCGACGAAGGCCAGGGCGAGGGCCGCGTTGCGGTGGTAGGGGCAGAGTGGCGCGGCGCCGCCCGGGCCCGTCCACGCCCGCGCCGCGCCTCATTGGCTCGGCTCGGCCTCCCTGAGCTGGGGGCCCTCCTCGGCGGGCTGCTCGTGGCACACGGCCGCCTCGCCGGGCGGCTTGAAGGCGACCGCGTACGGGAACCTGGCGTGGCACGCCCTCACGTACTCCTCGACCTCCGGCTCGCACGCGCCGAAGTCGCCCTCGCGCAGACTCTCCAACACCTCGACGCAGCCCTGTAGGACGGTGATGGGTTAATAGAGGGATTTCACATGTAGGAAATACATTCGCCCATTTTCTTTGAACCTGCATTGATTACGCTATAGATGGTACGGGCGACAACTGACATAACAAATCACGCCTATCAATTTCACACGTTGTAGTTTATAGCTAGAGGCGCACGGATAGTGGCGCCTTTGGGTCGACAGACGATAAATACAATAACTTGAGTAAATTGTTTCTTTTTAAGTTCAAAATCTTTTATAAAATTGGAAACATGGGTAGCTATGAATTACCAAACATTTTCGTAATAGGTACATTCTGAACGCATTTCGTATTTCTTTACGATTATATTAAATAGGTTTTTTTGTTTTTGTCCTTGCATCGAGTTCTGAAATATTATGGAATTTGATTTTTCCTTTGAATAGAGAAATATCAGATGGAATAGGTTTAGCATGTCCCAGCAGACCAGTGAAGCGTGGAAAGAAGATTGACAAATCGTATTCAACTTAAGTATAGGGTGTCCCACCAGCATATTCGATCGTGGACAGCGTCTACCGTCACCGTCAACTCGGCCAGTCGTACCCAACTTGGGGCTAGGATGTGGCACCAGTATATTGAAGCGTGGACAGCGCAGACTCGAACAGTCGTATCCGACTCAGGGCTAGGGTGTCCAACCTGTATGCTGACGTCCGGGTAGGTGAGCGCCGTGGCGTGCGCGAGCGCCGATCGCGCCCGCTCCGGCACGAGCCGCTGCAGGGCGCGCGCCCCCCACAGCGCCGCCGCCTGCGACCGGTGCGCCGCCACCCTCATGAACTCCTCCGCGATCTCCAGCGCGCTGCGGCCGCGCACCATCTGACGTGACACGCAGTGGAGGAGGGCCGGGGTTAATGCGTACGACCCGAAGGCAACTTTTATTTTAAAACTAGCGACTCTGGTACTACGGATAAATAAATACAATGTTCACACAATATTATTCCAGTAGTGGGGATCTTCTGGCGCAAGAGGCAGGCACACTAACCACAACGCCATTCGAGTCGAAATGGGTTTGGGCGGAGTGTGTACAACTGTTAAGGGAGCACACAAAATTTTATCCCAAAGTATAAGGATTGCAGCCACTTAAATAATTATTCATTAATTTCTATACAGGAATAACACATGGGGATTTGTACATGTATGGGAAACGTTTTGTTCTTCTTTATTCATGTAATATCTATAAAGCAAAGTGCTGGTATAACTGCAACCAAGAAGATCCTAAAGAACACAAAAAGAAGTGGTGGTGTTTGAGTGGTGTGGTGGCTCGGCGGTGGTCACTCACTGGCTCCGTCTCGGCGAGCAGAACGGCCGCCACGTGGTCATTTAGGGTTGGCAGCGCGTTCTCCAACCAGCCCTTGAAGCGCAGCAGACAGTCGTGCAGGTGCTGGTGGCCGCTGTCCAGGCGCCACGCTCGCTTCAGGCTTTGCAGCATAAGCAACGGCTTTTCTGTTCACATAGAATTTTGTATCAATGCCATAATGTTGACCATTTAATTTCTATTCTATTCTATTTTTATTTAAAAAACATTGCCCTTACTTTAGGATAACATTATCCTGTGTTGTAAGGACGTTTTACAAACATAAAACCAGATGCGAAACAACTATCTGAGGGCCACACAAATATTTGTCCCGTGTGGGAATCGAACCCACGACCCCTGATGCCGAAGCCAGTACCTTGGCGACTGCGCCACGGAGTCATCAAATTTATATTAATTTATATCTCTACTTTCCATCCTCTTCATTAAAAATAATTTCGTATAAACATTTGATAACGCCATCTATTGACAATTTGAAAAAATTGTTAAATTGTTTGTTTGTTTAGTTGTCAAATTTGTAAAAATTGATGAAAAAATATTGAAGTTGTTGACAATTTGAAAAAATTGTGAACAATTTCAAGTAGATTTAAGTCATTTTTCAAAATGTCTATCATTGATAAACACCTAATTTTTCACATCATTATATCACCATACGGTGACTGATCACGGTGTTGTGCGAAAATTTCACACGAAACACGCACAAATAAACTTAACACAATATTTAATCTGACAACTGTAATCAACTCATTATATAGAAATAGAAAGTGCATCAACATGCAGACGAAGCTGGATGAATTAGAAACTAAACGTTACCTTTCCTAATGTATATTTCGAAGGCCATTAAATGTGTGTCTATTCTATCCGCGGCGAGCGTACGCAGCGGTAACAGGAACTTTATCGCTTGCTCTAGGGGATCCCCCGCCTGTAAGAGATGAGATGAACACTAAAATGACACAAAATTCCCCATGAATTTTACCCTAAGATAGATTGGGGTAGCTTGAACGACCAATTCTTACCAAGCTGTGGTCTCAAAACGTGGTGGATGGTGGTGCCAGAGAAAATAAACAAGAAAGATGTACTGTTTTGAATAAAATATAAGTGAAGATTGAAGAAGAGAAAATATATGGAATGTAAATGGCAACTCAATAATTTTAAAGCGTCTATAAACTTATTTCCCGTTTGGCGTTGTGTGTTTTTTTTTTTATGCGATAAGTTGTCAAACGAGCAGACGGTTCACCTGATGTTAAGTGAATACCGCCGCCCATGGACATCTGCTACACTCGAGGGTTACAGATGCGTTGACAACCTTTTGAAAATTGGGCTCCGGCTACCTCACTCACCAGACGAAACGCGAAAGTATTTGTCATACTTCCACTTTACGCCGGTCTTCTGTGAGGTCGTGGTACTTACCCGGACGGGCCTGCCCATTCGTGCAACAGCCGAGGCTGCTGCGGTGGCCCTACCACTCTCTAAATGTGTGTCTTCTTAAAACAAATCTTAAGAACTGCAGAACTTTAAAAACGTTATTATCTATTTAGATTTCAGTTTAATACATAGATTGTCGAAAAAATTTCAGCATTGGTAGGTTTCGCTGCGACTTCTGGGTAACGCACGTTGACGCTCTTGCAAACAGATCTAAGTCCGATATCCTCTCGGCTACTATGTACTTTCATTTGGCAATCTCAGCAATACTTTGATATTGGTCCTTGGTGTGCGCAAATTTAAAATTTACGACACCCTCAAATATCATTATAATAAGAAAATGGCGTGGTATCGTATTGTCCTGTTTGTGGACTGGTCGGAAACTCACCCCATCCAAATCGATCGCTGGTATTTTTGCATCTCTTATGGGATCTTGGTGATCTCTTCTTATTTATGACGCAGTTACCTTGTGCTATTTAACCTGTCCCTCTGTTTCTTATTTTTTTTGTTACAATCGATCCAATGAGCTGAATTCTTTAAACATGTACATTGTACACATGTACATATTTCAAAAACATATGTACATATGTATACTATCTTCTCTTGCCTTCATTTTTTGCCTATCCGGTAAGTTTCGCTATCGATTCAAACTTGAAGGTTTGTTTTGAAAAGTCACACGTATAGGTTAGAGCTGATTATTGACTCGTGCGCTCACTATCCACATCTCAATAGAACCACGTATAGCACGTACATACCCTGGCCAGTTTATCGGGAATCAGCTCGTCGAGCTGTGGCGCTTCGGGGTCGCCCTGCTCTTGTTGCTGTCTCGCCTTGTGATGCTGCTCTCTCTTCACCTAGAAAACGAAAGAAAATAAAAGACAGAAGTTTCTTAGATACAACACTACTAAAGTACACACACATAAATAACAAAAGTAAAAGATATACATGTTATATTAATAAGAAGTTAATCGGTTCCTAGATAACAGCGCTGCATCACTAATAACATCGAATACACAATCGAAACACGCGGCCCCTCCCTAGTTCGAATGGAATGTCCGTTGGCGCGAAATTGTACTGCTCTGTTAGGAAGTAATAATAAATTACTTTTTGCTTATTTGGGCATGCGTTTTACTTATAATAATATGAACCTTTATTCATCACAATATGGGGGTATATATAAATATTTTATATAATACATATATAAATAGGACCCAACCAGACGGAAGCCCTCGGCAGGGGAGACCAAACGGCCGAGGGTTAGAGCGAAAGGGAGAGAAACCGGCGGACGATGCGGGCGGTATCGAGGAGCACCGCCTTCTGCATTTGAGCCTGGAGCGATCCGTCCTGGAGTCCCAGTCGCCTCTGTTTAGAGAGGCTGACTGGGATCAACCCATTCGCAGACACGACTATCGGGATAATTTCGGTCGGCACACCACCCCACATGCCGGTCACCTCGTGAGCCAGGTCCAGATACTTCGTCTTCTTATCTGTTTCGGCTTTCACGAGGTTCTCGTCATATGGAATGGTAATGTCGACCAAAAATACCCGCGACTGTGCCCGGTCCATCAACACGATATCAGGTTTGTTCGGTCCCAATAGAGCCTGGCGCGGTCATTTTCGAGCACGGCCTCCGGAGAGTACTTATAATACGGCAGTTTCCGTTCCACGAGGCCGCATTTCAGAGCGAGATCCTGGTGAAGGATTCTGGCTACTAGGTTGTGTCTATGCAGATACTCAGAGTTAGAAAGCACGGAACAACCGGAGATAACATGCCGAAGCGACTCTCCGGGATGGCGACAAGCTCGACAGATGTCGACGGTGCCATCCTTTAGGATGTATCTCCGATAGTTGTTCGTCTTAATAACCTGATCCTGTATCGCACAGACAAAAACCTTCGGTTTCCCCAAAGAGGTCACCGAAACGTAGCCAGTTAAGGGAGGCAACAGTATCTACGAAAGGCTCGTATAGAGCCTTGTAGAACCTCCCGTGGAGCTCTTTCTCCTTCCATACGGCCTCTCGGTCGGAAACGCTCAGTACTCCCGGGTCCTGCCATTGCTCGTTGGCTAAGGATAGAGGGGTAAGTCCTTTATCACAACTTATGACGTCCGTTCATCACAATATTATTATTGTCATATCATATTTCACAGCAGATTTATAAAGACATTTTAATGTTAATGTACATACCTAGCGATAATGTAATAAACATAATTAACAAGCCTTACAAGGTATATCACATTTTCCATAGATGGCGCTTGTATAAATTCCGTCATGAAATAACGGTAGTCAGCAGTTCTGACGCACTCAAGCCACACATAATTAGCTTCATTTTTATTTAGATTAAATTGCTTATTAAAACGATTGGCTTTTTTCTTTTCGGTATCAAAGGAAATCAAGACCTACGAGGATAGAATTATGTCAGGTCCATACACTCTAAAACAGTAAAAAACAAATCCTATCATCGCATTTTTTTAGAATTGTTCACTACTTAACTTACATACTTGTAAGATGATTATAACGCAGCATTGCAACGCGTATATTAGGAAGCCGCCCTCTATCCGAATCGGCGACCTTAGATCACAAAGCCCTTCGTCCAACGACAGGGTCATCAAAGATTCAATTACCTGAACTTGGGCCGCCAGCGCGCTCTCTTGTTCCGCTTTACGCTTCGCTTTCCTCTGTTTGTTTCTGAGCTTCTTCAATTCGGACGGCGCGAGGTTTTCTGGAACACGCGAAACGTTAACATTATTGACGATCATATTTAATCCAAATCGTAGATATATGCATATATGAGGCAAGATAAAAAACGGCAATATTTGTTCAGATTCTTAGTATGGTATTATAAGTCGGACACTAGATGGCGCCACTAGTTTTACCAAACTGTGTTTAAAGCGAATTGTAAGTCAAAAGAATTATTGATACACATTAAACTTCACACTATCGTTAAAAATATATTTTATGAAAGCAGAACATATTAGTAACAAATCATTTGATCTCCGATCAACACAATATGCTACTATCAATTTTAAGATGATAATTAGAAATTAAAATTTTTATAGTGCTAATCTCTGCACTTAAGATTTAACATTAAAATTTGAAGTCAAAGTACGAAAGGATTGTCGCCGCTGTGGGATTCAGAAGACGTTCGATTCCCACAGCGACGATTATCTTTTCGTACTTTTTCTTCAAATTTTAATGATAATCAGGTTAAAATATAATTACAATATAGTTTTGGTAAAGACACCAAACGATGGTTTATTACAACATCAACAACGTACAGACGTAAGAATTCATCGACCACACATATTCTTGGAAGCTTTACGTCCAAGGACTGAACGTATGAGGAACTGATAACCAGATTTTCGAACGCGCCATTCTTATTTATAGATAGTTTTATTAATATAGTCTCTCGGTTTAGAACTCTCACATGGTATACAGAGATAGGGAGTTTACTCCCACTGCTCGGCGGATAATAAGTGATACTCATTATCACTTATTATCAAATACTTAGTACAGCGAGTGACGAGTGATTTTTGCTTGCTCGTAAGAAATCCGGAAAAACAGGATCAATGGTACTCTTTAGTGTTACGCGAACCCAAAACCTCAGTAGATCGTAGGTTGTGTGTCACTGAAACATTAATAATGTTTCTTCTTTACCAATTACGAAAACATGTTTCATAAATTAACGTTAAACTAGCAGGACGTTAATCCGAAGGACGTCATCAAAATTACATTTACGTAAAACACAGACCCGATTTGTAACAGAAACCTCTTCCCTCGCGAGAAAGAAGACTTCATGCTGAACACGTTAAATACTATTGTATCGAAAGGTTTGAAATATCGGTCTCACATCTACCAATAAAAATAAAATTATAGAGGTCTACAGTTGTGAGTGTATCGTGGAAAATTGAATAAGGGTATCAGCTAGTAATAGAGAAGCCTCGCCAACCTCATAGGTGGGCAAGACTTCGTGACTTCTAGCACCAATGGTAAGCGTCTATCACTCACCATCGTGTGAACAATTCAACCAAGATTACAAGCGATCCCAATTAGTTTTTTTGAGACGCGGATACTCGCGTACAATTCTCAAAAATCATTGCGCAACGTTCTTCAACGTAGCATATTAGCATAGAGGTCCGTTGCAATTCAAACAACGAGTACGGGCGCTGATATTGGCGCGCAAATAATACGAGATCGGTTAGTCAGCGGCGTGGAAATAGTATCTGAGCCAGCGTCGCCCTAGCCGCGACGCATTCTCCGCCTTAAAAGGATCACTTTTCGACGATCGCTTTGTTTGGACACATGAGGCCGTTTCGCATGACTGTTCGTTGTTTAAAAATAGTCAAGTTTTGCGGGTTCTGTTTTTATTCTTAGTTGCACTTGAACAACCTGTACCATACATATGCCTACCACTACTGTTATACACATAATAGGTTCCGGTTTTACCCTTTGGGTACGGAATCCCTTAAAACCTTATGTAAAATTTAAATAGTCCCTTCCATGACGTTAACGAAAACCTAGAAAATGTCATTCTTTTTCGAAAAGATAAATCTGTCGCTCGTCCGTCAAATCGCACTCCGACGCCGTTTACCTAAAGAAATTTATTACAGTCCGAAGTATTTATATGGGACAAAAACTGTATCAGTTCACTTGTTTTCTTTGTTCCCTTTGATTTGTACGTAGATTTATGTCTCTATTTAATAAAACTTGAACAAGGACGGTGGACATTAAGAAAATAAATTTACCGTAATGGACGGTTGTACATTTTCGGATTAACCCGATGCGCAATTATGGATAGGACGTAAATAAGTTAAAAAAAAAACAAAAATAAAAGTACGTCGAACGATTAACGATTTAACGAAGAAGAAACATTATTAATGTTTCAGTGACACACAACCTACGATCTTCTAAGGTTTCGGGTTCACGTAACAGTAAAGAGTACCATTCATCCTGTTTTTCCGGATTTCTTACGAGCAAGCAAAAATCACTCGTCACTCGCTGTACTAAGTATTTGATAATAAGTGATAATGAGTATCACTTATCATCCGCCGAGCAGTGGGAGTAAACTCGCTATCTCTATATACCATGTGAGAGTTCTAAACCGAGAGACTATTAATAAAAGATCTATAAATAAGAATGGCGCGTTCGAAGTATCTGGTTATCAGTTCCTCATAAGTTCAGTCCTTGGACGTAAAGCTTCCAAGAATATGTGTGGTCGATTACAAAGCAAACGTACAGAGGAAATTAAAACAGTCATGTCTTTGAATACAAGAATATAATTGAATATAATTCTTATTATTATGAAAAATTCAAACCGTTTGTTCATTTCGAAATATCTCGTGAGTTTTGGCGTAAGGAATATATACAATAAATAATATTGTAACTTACGATAAGTCATATCTAGGGCAGCTTCGCGGGCGTTAGACACAAAATTAGATATCGCAACTTCTTTATAGCTTAAACCTACACAGCGCTCATTGAAATTCTGAATGCAAATTTCCAATCTTGTTATGGAAATATTTAGGTTAAACTAGTTTTTTTTTTTTTGTTTAACTCTAATATATTAGTTTTTATATACGTCATCATGAACATGTTTCGTTACTATAAACCTTTTGAATCAAAGTTAACCTTAAGTACTGATAAAAAACACGGCAGTTGTTATTACGTATTTATGTAGAATAGAATTAAAATTTAAATATCGCACTTTGACAAAGTGCAATAAAAATATTTAGAGATGATTATTTAATGTCAGACAGAATTGTTGGTTACAAAGTCAAAGTCAAGTCAAAATTTCTCTATTCAATATAGGCTTATAGCTTAGAGCTTAAAGCTCTTATTGAACGTCAAAAACTGCAGTTATTAATGATTTAATGAAAAACAACGTATATCTTCCTCCGATAAACTAACAGTACAATTTTGTCCTGTTAAGTTTATTACTAGACATTTTGCTTGCTTTTACTTTTATCTTAATGACTTAATGAAACTCCGCTTGAGAAATAAATTATTTCATTGTAAGTTGAGCTCTAATTTAGACTTTGAGTACGACAGTTGTTATTAAAAGCTGTTTATTGACATCGCGTGTCATAGTTGCTAAGCGAACCATATTGACCTTACCGAATGATCGGATATGAAGTATTCTTTGTAAATAATTCAGTATTTACAAACAAGAGTATTTACCGACGTCAGTTTTTCCGTGCGTTTATGCGCGTTGTGCGTTTATCTTCTACGCGAAAGTGATTAGGCTGTTACTGAGTTAATGCCTTTACAATACATCTTTAATTACCAAGTCAGAAGTAGCGAAGCAATGGTGACGTGATAGCAGATTTCGTCTACCTTCAAAAGTTAATATTGAGACGCACCAAATCATTGGGTATGTTGTATGAAATTTTCTCAATCAAATGTAAAGTTCACTTGGATTGAGCGGGAGGGAAACGGGTAACGAGGAAGTAGTCCGGATTAGTTGGCAAATATTACGAAACCAGGAATTCGAAACAGCCTTTATTCCGTTTAAAGTGAGCACAATCCAACCTATTCCACATCCGGTACCTTCGCATTTATTATCTACTCGCTTGCAGACAGAACTGGACCGCCTTTCCAACGCGGTTGGGCTTGGCCCTGCGGCATTTATAAATAACAATATCTAGCGATAAACATAGAACGGATAGTTGCACGGGGTGTGTCGTGAGAAAGGAATAGATATTTTATCATTGAGCATTAAAAATTAAAACATCTTAAGCTTTGTACCTGAACATTTAAATGGCATTAATTCAGTTTTAATTAGGATAGAAAGAACTAATTTTATAGAATGCGAAAGGTCCAACATCTGTCAAGTGTGGAATGTCGCCATTTTTTTCCAACACGAAGGAATCGATTAATAGACATGTGATATTGGCATTGTTATTAAAATTGATGATGATACCCTGACCACTATACCAATTCTACAGTTTTACAGTTTTCAAATTCAATATCTATCATCACCATTATCATCAGTAGACGTTGGTGACTCAATTTAAGTACTATAATACTAGTTTATAATACTTACAATATGTAATTAATAATTAATAAATTAGTTTTATTGAACAGCGATAATCAAATTATACAATGAATTGCCCAAAAACATTCTCATGCATTATCTTACAGTGTCACGTATAAAACGTAAAGGTAATAAAAAGAGAAATGAAGTAATTACAGAACCTTGAACGGTACACAGTGAATTGGTTCAAACGAATAGAGACAATGTCGCATGTAGTACTTATGTTGTGATACAATAAACGACCGAAGGATATTTAAATACATTTTCTGCGAGGTAAATACAAAATTACGATTGAATTTTTGCCTCAGGCATATAAATTATAAGTTATTCGTCGCGAAATACCATCCGTATTGATTATCCTTACTAATATTATAAAGGCAAAAGTTTGTATGTATGGATGGATGTTTGTCATTCTTTCACGCAAATACTACTCAATGGATTTTAATGAAACTTTAGAATAATATAGCTTATACAACAGAATAAGACATAGGCTATAATTTATATACATATTTTACGCATTTAGGCAGGTGTAGTCGCGGGCAGCAGCTAGTGTGATATAAAAAAACGAATTGATAAAACGTAGAGTATGTTGAATAAAAAAGGACGTTAGCAGTTCTTAATTGCCACATTAAGTTTATTCCCACGGTAAAAAAAGTTGTAAAGGATTTAAATGATATATAAATGCATTAAATATCGACAATGTTTCCTTATTACATTTCGGCGTAT